CCCCAAAACCCCAAAACCCCGAGTATAGAAAATTTCTTTATATCTTTAAAATAAATAAATAGTAAAATGAGTCTTTTAGCAAAATACAATTCTCTGCTTACCAAGAGGCCTCTCACAACAAAAATGGTCACAAGTTCTTTGATAGCAGGATTTGGTGATTCTCTCTGTCAAGGCATGGAATTATGTTAGTAGCAGTAATTTAAACCTTTATAATTTAGATATTTCCAAAGATTAGAATAAGAAGTTCAATTTTAAAAGAACCAGAACATTTTTGATTATGGGTGGTCTATATGTTGCTCCAATTCTTCATTTACACTACTCTTATGTGCTACCTTACTTCGTCCCAAATATGTCTCCCGTGGGAGTAATCAAAAAGATTATAATTGATTAAGGGATATTTGCTCCATCATTTATGCTGACGTTTTATCCAATAATAAATTTTGTAGATGGGAAATCATTTCAATAAGCGAAGTAAGATATGAGAGATAAGTATGTCTAAACAATCATAACTAATTGGAGTGTATGGATCCCTGCAGGAATAATAAATTTCTAATTTGTTCCAATTTAGTATCAAGTTCTATTCGCCAACTTTATCTAGTTATTCTTCAATTCTTACCTTTCTTATATGCATAACTCATACCACAAAAAAGAATGAGTGGCAAAAATATTAGAAATTATTCAGTTTATACTAACTTTTAATAAGGCAATAGTTTTTATGAACCTTTTAATTGAAACTATTAATAAGAAATGAACATTGTTACTTAATATTAGTTAAAGAAGTAATTTTATTAACAAAATGAATACTTTACTATAGAGATACAACTATCACTTATCAACCAGACCACTAGTCACAAAGATGATTACAAGTGGAGCAATTGGAGCTTTTGGAGATTTACTATGCTAAACCTTTGAAAACAGTATGATATATTTAATGAAAGTTATAAATTAGGAACTAAGAAAGAGAAATCTTACAACTTACAGAGAACTAAGTCATTTTTTTTGACTGGTACATTCTTTATCGCTCCTCTACTTCACTTGAGTTATTCAATTGTCTTGCCAAGGTTAGTTCCTGAACTTACTACAGTTGGTGCAATTAAGAAATTAGCTTTGGATTAATTAGTATTTGCTCCAGTAGTTGTGACAATGTTTTATCCTGTCATAAACTTCATCGAAGGAAAACCATTTTAGTAATCGATTGAAGATCTCAAGAATAAATTCATACCCACAATGATAACAAACTACAAGATTTGGCCGCTGGCTAACTTTATAAATTTCACTTTTATTCCTATTTAATACCAAGTGCTTTGGGCTAATATGATCTCACTTTTATTCAATGCTTGTCTATCATTCATCCATAACAATAAATCAATTGCTAATTAGAGTAATACTAAAGAATAATCTAAAGCATTAGGCAATAATTCTGATTGATCATTGCTTAAGCAATTGATTGAATTTAAGTTTAATTTATGGTCTCGAAAATAGATTTAGATTTTAATTTTAAATAATTTGCTTTAATCAATTACAATTTATGATGGGGTTTTGGGGTTTTGGGG